TTATTGTATTTCTTTTTTTAATTAATTTTAATCAAAGTTTACAGAGACTTAGGGCTTCCAGTCATTCGTTGTTGCACTTTTCTCCCTGCCCACTCCCTCCCCCATTCACTCTTCTCCTTGAAAGAAAAAGAAAAACTCTTTCATTGTTATGCAATCCCTCCCCCACCCCCAAGTCCACTCCACTATTCAGCCTTCACTCTGGACTTCTGTCATGACAAGAATACCCATTCATAGGTCCCTTTTAAACAGTACTCTCCCTCATCTGTTTCAAAGCAATACACATCATTCCTCCGGAGAACTCACCTTATTTTTCTAGAGCCTTTGAAAGAGACCCCTTATCAGGCTGAAACCCTTTATCCTCTTAGCCTAGAAGGACAGTTTTGAGGAAGACCTCTTTAACAGGTTGAAATCCTTTGTTGATGGCTGCCTCTCCACTTGCAATGTATAGCTAAGTCACTCCCTTCTTCCACAGCATAGTAATAGAACCTCTTGACCTTGTATCAAAGGTGACATTTTCAGTAAAGAGGAGGAAAACCAAGTCTCCCCTTGGAGGCTAGGATTTTGAAACTCCACCTCACTTACTTTGGGCATGTGGCCAGGAGAGACCGGTCCTTGGAGAAGGACATCATGCTCGGAAGGGTGGACGGACAGCGCAGGAGAGGAAGACCCTGGATGAGATGGATTGATACAGTAACTGGGGCAATGGAGGTTGGTGTGTCAGAATTAGACTGACTCAGGACAGGGAAAGGTTCAGAGCTACTGTCATTATACATCACAGGCCACTCAATCAATAACATTCAATGACAGGTTTGGAAGCAGGAGTGGCATCCACTTCCTAAACAACTGGCGTCTGGAAACTCTATGTACTTTGATAAATGTCAATAGTTGTAGAGGGGCTTCAGGCCTTTTATTCATTTGGTTGCTCGACTGGAAGGCAATCAGCAACAACAACAGGAGGGAAAACCTATTTAGACTTTAATGGAATTTCTTCTAGGTTTGGTCTGAGTCACAGATATTTTTTCCCTACTTTCATTTTCCTCTTTACATCATGTGCTGAGTTAAAGTATTTTCCCCTCCAGAACAGTGCAGACCAAGAAGGCCAGAATGTAACTACCATAGGTATCACAACATAACTGTAAAATGCCATGATGGTTGTCCATCATGGATACTGTTTGAAGGGGCTTCTGGACTGATTCAGGCTTGGGAAGAAGGAGTGGCATCCACTTCCAATGCCAGATGCCTCTGGAAACTCGATAAACTCCAAAAACATAAAGAAATAACATCAATTATAGAACAGAGTTCAGCTCTTTTGTTCATAGGGTCTCTATGAGTCGTATTCTACTTGACTTGACACTTAACCACTGAGAAGAGTATTGAGTACCATGAACTGCTAGGAAAACAAACAGATTCATCCTAGAGAAGGTTAAACAGAATCCTTGGAGGCAAGGATTCTGAGGCTCCGTCTAACATACTTTGGACATGTTGTAAGGAGGGACCTTGAAGAGGGACATCATGTTTGGCAGGGTGGAGGGACAGTGCAGGAGGGGAAGGCCCTCTATGAGGTGGATTGATTCAGTGACTGGGGTAATCAGGATGGGAGTGTCAGAGACAGTGCGATTGGCACAGGACAGAGCAGAGTTTAGGGCTATTGTCCACAGGGTCTCTATGAGTCGCAAGCGACTCGATGGCACATAACAACAACAACAACATAGCAAGGTTAAGAGCCATGGTATGTAGGGTTGCTAAGAGTTGCAAGCAACTTGATAGCACATGACAACAAACAACAATGTGGAAACCAAAGATTCTAGGAATTCCCAGGGGTGGGAAAGAGGGACTCATTGCTTCAAAGACACTGAGTTCCTGTTAAAGGTGATGGGAAGCTCTGGAAACAGAGACTGGTAAAGTCTGAACAACAGGTGATCACAATTCATGTCACTGAATTATACATTAAAGAATGTTGAAATGGCAAATGTTTTGTTACTCACGGGTGTACCACAAACTTTAAAAATGACATAATAAACTGTGGAATCATACGTTCGCTATTTTAAAGAAAATGTTTTTGTTGTGAGGTGTCCTCAAGTCAAGGACAACTCATCGCATCCTTATAAATAGTAGCTCTGAACCTCGCCCCATCCTGTGCCATAAAAATACCATCTTATATTAGGACATCATGCTCAGAAGGGTGGAGGGACAGCGCAGGAGAGGGAGGCCCCAGATGAGATGGATTGATACAGTATCTGGGGCAATGGGGGCTGTTGTGTCAGAATTAGTGAGACTGGCTCGGGACAGGGCAGGGTTCAGAGCTGCTGTACATGGGGTCACTATATGCTGCAGGTGACTCAACAGTATGTAACAACAAAACATACTATTTTGGGGTAGTGTGTTGTTGGGTTGTTGTTGTTTTTTTTATTTATGTAAACCTCTTGTTTTAGAGTCAACAAGACCTTGGGGAGGGCCTTTGTATTTACTTGTCAGTTATTATATTTTTGGAGGAACGTTCTTCTAGGAGGCACTTCTAGAACGGCACTGTTCTGTCAATATGCTGTACTGAGTTTACCTGGGGTTGCTGTGATGCTGAACCTTGAGCCGCTGGGGTGTCAAATGCCATAGCAGTCACCCATGGTGGACAGTATTTGGGGGAGCTCCCAGTGTAAGACAGGTTTGGAAGCAGGAGTGGAATCCGTTTCCTAAACAACGTGCCTCTGGAACCTCTATGAACTTTGATAAATGACAATAGTTATAGAAAAGCATTAGGCCTTTTGTTCATAGGGTCTCTATGAGTCGTGCTCAACTAGGTGGCAATCAACAACATATATAAACATATACATACACATATACACACATACATATACATATATATACATACGTACATACCTATACATACATACATACATACCTATACACATACACACACACACACATCAACTATTACATATAGACGTGGAGCTCTACACATATTATATGGAGTTCTGGTGGCCTAGTGGCCAGAAGCTGTGCTGCAATCATGAAGGCACACAGTTTGAGGCTACCAGCTGCTCCATTGGAGAATGGGGAATCTTCTCTTGTGCGATGAACTGCTTTTGAAAACCTGCTGGAAGATCAGCTATGAGTTGGTCCCTACTCTACAGTACCCAGCAAGAACAATAACATTAAATAGATATAGATGGATGGATGGATGGATGGATGGATGGATGGATGGATGGATGGATAGATGGATAGATAGATAGATAGATAGATAGATAGATAGATAGATAGATAGATAGATAGATAGATGATAGATAGATTATAGATAGATGGATGGAGAGATAGATAGATAGATAGATAGATAGATAGATAGATGATAGATAGATAGATAGATAGATAGATAGATAGATAGATAGATATAGATAGAGGGATGGAGGGATAGATGGATGGAGAGATAGATAATAGATAGAGGATGGAGGGATAAATGGATGGAGAGATAGATAGATAGATAGATAGATAGATAGATAGATAGAAGGAGGTATAGATGGAGAGAGAGAGATAGACAGACAGACTGAGAGACGGAGGGATAGATAGATAGATAGATAGATAGATAGATAGATAGATAGATAGATAGATAGAAGGAGGTATAGATGGAGAGAGAGAGAGATAGACAGACAGACTGAGAGACGGAGGGATAGATAGATAGATAGATAGATAGATAGATAGATAGATGTATAGATGGAGAGAGATAGACAGACAGACAGACTGAGAGATGGAGGGATAGATAGATAGATAGATTATAGATAGATGGATGGAGAGATAGATAGATGATAGATAGATAGATAGATAGATAGATAGATAGATAGATAGATAGATGGAAGGAGGTATAGATGGAGAGAGAGAGAGATAGACAGACAGACTGAGAGATGGAGGGATAGATAGATAGATAGATAGATAGATAGACAGATAGATGATAGATAGATTATAGATAGATGGATGGAGAGATAGATAGATAGATAGATAGATAGATAGATAGATAGATAGATAGATGATAGAGATGTGTGTGTGTGCCATTAATAAATGGTTTCTGTATAAACATAGATCCAGAAACCAATCAATAGCTGACCTGTGGTGAGTTTTTCAGAGGCAGCAAATCACGTGGAAGTAGACTGTCTACCTTCTCCTGTGGCACAACTAGTGGATTCCATGTGTGTTTGTGTTTGCAGCTCAATTCCTTATCACTAAGCCGCTTGGTGGTGGTGGTGGTGGTGGCTGTGGTGGTGGTGGTGACTGCCTCCAAGTTGAGTTGAGCTTCAATCCATATTGAAAACTACAGTCCTTGACCTTCTAGAGCAAGCCTTCAGGTGGTCCTCACTTTCAGGAAGCAAGCTTGTGTCATCTGCATAACGTAGGTCGTTGAGGAGTCTTCCTCCAGTCCTGATGCCACCTTCCTCCTCCTAAAGCCCTGCTTCCCGAATGATCTGTTCTGCATACAGATTGAAAAGGTCTGGAGACAAGATGCATCCCTGACACACTCCTTGCCTGATTTTGAACCATCCAGTGTTTTCCTTGCTCTGTTCTGAGGACTGCTTCCAGGTCCAAGTATAGGTTTCACATGAGCATAATCAAGAGTTTTGGGATTCTCCTTGTCCTCAAGACTAACCACAATTTGTTGGTAGGAGAGACATGAGGAAGGAATCATAAGCCCAAGGATGTCGGTGGCCTTTGGCATCTGGGACACCTTAGCAATTGCATTCAGAAGGGAACCCGCTTGGCCCCGCCCAGTACAAGAGCCACATTCCCTTTCACATCCTGCTGATAATATCAGTCTTCACCGCATCTCGCATGATGTGAGATCATGTACAAAGTGACTGGGTTGAGGCCGCCGGCTGACTGCACTCCCCCCTCGGACTTATTGCCTTCGGAGGTCCTGTCCTGCGATCCCAAAGGACAAACCAACCTTCAGAGACCCTCAACCGTGGCCCAGCACCTCAGTCAGAATTGATCTCTCTTCCTCTGCCGAGCAGATTACCACCATGACCAGAGACGAGGTGGGCCGGAGGTCAGGATGGAGGAGTCGCTGGAGAATAGAAGACATTGTGACTGTCTTGATCCTGGACTTATTACTCCCCGGTAAGGACTATACCACTTGGGGTTACTGAGTTCGAGTCCTGGGGACTTGCTGGGAGGAAAAGGGGCTTACACAACATCCTTTCCTGCAGGGACCTCCAGCGGGTACTCATTCCGGCTCACACCTTGTAAGTAAGACCCTAGCCACCCTAAGGAATATGCCTACTTGGGTGAGAGCGCTCCCCCACTGGGAATCTTGCCCCAGGTAACCCGGCCCTGATTCTTTCCAGATCGAGATTCTACACCAACCCTTCTATATGAGACAGAATCACTCGCCCACCCCTGGGACAACGTGGCCCTGATCTGTTACACTATGATGAGTGGAAATATACAACTGCTGAAGGATGGGAAGGTCTATCGTGGCCTTCATCTCAAAGCCCAGGTCAACGAACCCCGGTTCCTCCTGGGGAATGTGACAGAGGCCACCAGAGGCATCTACCGGTGCCGCTTGCACCAGGGTAATTCTAATGACTGGTCTGCACTTAGTAAGCCTGTAGATCTGACCCGGAGAGGTGAGTCTTGGCCACAAGGAGACCTAAGGGTTTTGGGGAGTGGGAGAGGGAAGGAGAAAAGGGTGAGAATGCCAAGAGCCAAGAGGACAACTCAGGGCCCCTCACACACCACCTTCTGCCCTGCGAAGCTCTCTTCACATTCCTAAACTCTGCCTTCTCCAATTCTTTCTCTCCCTCCTTCGTTCTCACACGTATACTGGAACAAACCAGGATCCATGGAGATAACAGATATGTATTCTCTCTTAATTCTAACACCAGACATCCAAGATGGAAGTGTCAGTAGGGTTGATACCCCCTGGAAGCTCTCAGGGAGAATTTTTTTCCATACCTCTATCCTGCAGTTTGGCAGATTCAAGGTTTCTTCAATTATAGATGCAGCCCTCCAAACTCTGCTTCCTTATTCATGGGACTTTCTCCTCTCTGGGTATGTCTGTGTCTCTTCTCCTTTTCTTACAAAGACACCCGTCATCCTGGATGTTAGGTCCACACTGATTCAAGCTCACAGCCATTGAAGCTCACCATCAAGAAAACAAAGATTCTCACCACTGGGCTGACTGGAAGCATCGTGATGGATGGTGAAGAGATTGAAACTGTCAACAGCTTCAGTTTGCTTGGCTCCACAATCAATATTCTTGGTACCAGGAAATCAAAAAGATAAACTGCATTGGGGAAATCTGCTGTCAAGGACCTCTCCAGAGTACTGAAGAGCAACGATGTTAATCTGGAGACTAAGGTGAGCCTGACCCAGGCCATGGTCTTCGCAATTATGTGCTATGCATCAGAAAGCTGAACTGTAACTAGGGATGATAGAAGGAGAGTTGATGCCTTTGAGCTGTGGTGCAGGAGAAGAATATTGAATATACCATGGACTGCTAGGAGAACAAACAGGTTCATCCTGGAGAGGGTGAAACCAAGCTGTTCCTTGGAGACAAGAATTTAAAAAACCATCTTTTGATAGATTTGTCACTTTTATTATGAAAAAATAACTATGAATAGCATGTTTTAGCTACCACAATACCTACCTGTCTTCCTATTCATGAAGATTTAACCAAGGGATCAACAGAAGTCTCTGTATCCTTGATGCTTAAGAAAGGAAAGAGAGTAAAATCTATCCCTGCCATCTCTGAGAGCCAGTTCCTTCCATGGGCCCTTGTAGATGATGTTTTACCTTTCTCTTTTAAAAATTAATTTTAATGAAAGTTTACAGAGATTTAGGGTTTCCAGTCATTCATTTTTGCACTTTTCTCTCCGCCCACCTCCTAATTCACTCTTCTTCTTGAAAAGTAAAAGAAAAACTCTTTCATTGTTATGCAATCCCTCCCCCCAAGTCCACTCCACTATGCAGCCTTGATTCTGGACTCCTGTCATGACAATAATATCCAATCATAGATCCCTTTTAAACAGTCCTCTCCCTCATCTGTTTCAATGGAGTATACATCATTCCTCCCCTCCTTCTCTGTCTTCCCTCAACCCCGATGTCAGTCCTGTTTTACAATAGATGTTCTACCTTTCTAAAGTGGGCAGATGAAGCAAAGACAAGAGAGAGAACAGAAAAGGACAAATAAGCCACAGAGTCATTTCAGAGCTAACACTTATGGAGAGATGAAGAGAAAGTTACTCATGGAGGGGTGTAGGAACCACGAGGGAGCTACTGAAATCCAATAGTGTGACCGATTATGAGTCTAACTAACTGTTGCTGACTTTGCACATGATTCTGGCTTCCAAGAAGCTGAAATCTAGGCCCTCTGAGGTTTCTAATACCTCTCTCACCCCACCTCTTCCTTGTCTCTCAAGAGACAAGGATTCTGAAGCTTCGTCTGATATACTTTTGGGCATGTTGCAAAGAGGGAACAGTCCTTGGAGAGGTGCATCATGCTTGAGAGGTACGCCATGCTTGAGAGGGTGGAGAGACAGAGAGAGAAAGAAAGACCCTCAATGAAATAGACTGTCTCAGTGACTGGGATAATGGAGGTGGATGTGTCAGAGATACTAATGTTGGTTCAGGATAGAGCAGGGTATAGGGCTGTTGTACATAGGGGTGCTATAAGTCACAAGCTACTCAATGACCCATAACAACAACAAACACCTGCCACATCTTTCTCCTTCAGAGTGCCTGGTAGATTTGGACCACTGACATGCAGGTTAGAAGCCAAATGCCTTAGCCACAGGAAAGCAAGAGTTCTTACCATCATCCAGTGTGCCCTACTTAACAACACCATATAGTTAATCAATGCCGTATACACAAATATACAATCAAAAGGTTAGCTGCATTGGAGAAGTCTGCTGTCAGCGAGCTCTTCAAAGTGCTAAAGAGCAATGATGCCAGTCTAGAGACTAAGGTGTCCCTGATCCAGGCCATGGATTTCAGAATTACTTGCTGCGCATCAGCGAGCTGGACAATGATGACTCAGGATGACAGAAGAAGAATTGATGTCTTTGAGTTATGGTACTGGAGAAGAGTATTGAGCATACCATGGACTGCCAAGAGAACAAGGAGATCTGTCCTGAAGAGAGTGAAACCAAGTGTCTCCTTAGAGGGAAGGAGAAACCATTTCACATACTTTGGACATGTGGCCAGGAGGGACCAGTCTTTGGAGAATGATATCATGCTTGGAAGGGTGGAGGGGAAGCATAGTGGAGGAAGACCGTGGATGACATGGTTTAACACAGTAACTGGGGTAATGAAGGTAGGAGTGGCTCTCCTCTCATCCGTCAAAATGTTTACTCATCAACTGTCTTTCTCTACAGCAATGACGTGGGGGAGGGGGCACAGTGTCCCCAGTGGTGGTCATCTGAGACGCAGTTGTTATTATGTGCCATCAAGTTGCCTGATACTCATAGTGACTCTATGTACAACAGCCCTAAACTCTGCTCTATCCTGTGCCAATCTCAGTCTCTGACGCACCTACCCCCATTACCCCAATCACTGAATCAATCCATCTCATCTGATGTCTTCCTCTCCTGCGCTGTCCCTCCACCCTCCCAAGCATGGTGTCCCTCTCCAAACACTGGCCCTGCCTTGCAACATGCCCAAAGTATGTCAGACAAAGTTTCAGAATCCTTGCCTCCAAGGAGCAGCCTGGTCTCACCCTCTCTAGGATGAACCTGTTTGTTCTCTTAACAGTCCGTGGTATATTCAATACTCTTCTCCAGCACCACAGTTCAAAGGCATGAATTCTCCTATCATCCGCAACCATTGTCCAGCTTTCTGATTGTTTCTCCAACGTTCCAATGTCTTGAATTCTGTTACTGCAGTCTCGTTCTGCCGCTTTGGAGTCTCTCATTCCAGGATTTTCACCTATCACTTTTCCCATCTCAGGTTTCTTTCCTGTTCACTCAAATGTTTACAGTTTGGATCTCAAGTCACTAACCGTAGCTACCCTGGTTCGAAGCAGTCCCAAGCCCTGTGTTTTTGTTTTGTGGTTGTTTTTTTTCTTTTTCCTGATTTTTTATTATTAGTATTAATTTCAATGAACATCCACAGAGATTTTGGAATTCCATTAATTCATTGTTGCACTTTTCTCCCCAACCACCCCAGCCCCACCTCCACCCCCAGTTCCCTCCTCTCCTTGAAAAGCAAGAGACAAGCAAGCCCTGTTTTAAAGCTCTCAGTGGGAGGCACATCCAGGAAACACTTCATTCTCAAAGTTTCCACTTTGTACCTTACATGAGGGAGAAAACCAGGCATCCGATCACAGCTAGCTCTTGCCTAACAGGGATCCTTCCACTACCAACACTTTCTGCTGAACCTGCCCCCTGGGTGACCCCAGGCTTGATGACCAAACTTCATTGCCAAGGACCCCTGAAGCAAGTGTCCTTTGTACTAAGGAAGAATGAGGATCAGAATTTCGTGATGAGGTATACGTCCACCTCCTTCACTGGCATATTTCACATCCTTCAACCTGGAAGCTACAGCTGCAGCTATGAGATCACGCCCTGGGGATTCCGATCTGAGCCGAGCCAGATGGTGACGGTCCAGAAGCTGGGTAAGCACCGTCGTCTCAGAGACTGACTTACAGATGAAAGACCAGGGGGTTCAAGAAGATAGGAGGGAACTTCCTCGGGAGGGGGCACAGAACCACAGTGTGTGTGGGGGGGGAAGCAAAGAGAATTCCCCTGGGCGGGGCGGGGGGGGAGTTGATGGGTGTGCCCATGTTCAGGACACGTGGTTGGGAGGTACTTCAGGGTCTCAGTCTAGAGTCCCAAGACTCTGTCGGCAGTGCACCGAGACTCACTGTGTTCCTTCCAGATTTCTTCCCAGCACCCACATTAGAAAGATTGACTGCCAACATGATCCTCAAACCAGGGTCCGACGTGCACCTAAGATGTGCAACACCTATGCCAGATGCCACACCCAGCCTGCAGTCAATGGTACACCTGTCACTGCCAGCTCCCGTGCAGATGACTTCCTTAACTCCTGGAACCTTGACCTTCATCTTCCCCGTTCAAAAGGGAGACTGGTACACCTGCCGCTACTCACTCAATAATCAATATTCCGTCTGGTCCAGAGACAGCGACCCTGTGGAGATCCTGGTGAACGACGGTGAGTGGATGGGGCAGGGGGGGGGGTCAAGCTACTATGTTCCCTGCATCTAAGATCTCTCAGCTGAGAGCGAAGGAAGAAGCCATGGCTCTGGCTTTAAGATTGCTGATTGTGTCATGGCCTTCTGCCTGTCATGGCCTTCTGCCCGGGGCAGGCTGCGCTTGGCCCCCGGCTCGGGGCGAACCGTCGCGGCCCTCAGGAGCAAGAAGGCAAGCAGCTGTAACCCAAGGCCACCAGTAAGGTGATAAAGCGTCCTCCCTTCCCCCCTTTATATCTACGCCCCTGTTCAGCATGAAGAAGCCAGAGAGTCGGCATCCAATTCCCAAATCAATAAGACAGTTGGTTTAATTACTATTGGAAAATGCTTGCCATTCCTCTGTAGCATCTGGTCCCCACTGGACCCTCATTATTTCCTTCACTTGCTCCCCCCACCGACCAAACTGTGCAGCTCTACAACTGCATCCTGACCCATCCTCACCCTTCTGCCCCCAACCCTCACCTCCTTGTACCCCCAATATGTTTTTCCCAATTAAAAAAAAACCATATTAAAAAAAAAAGTGAAGTAAAAAAAAAAAAAAGATTGCTGATTGGCTGCCATACACCTTAAACCTCATCATACCGAGTCTTTCTATTGGTGATTCTCTAATTCCAGTGGGATTTGGAGAGAACACTGCAGCTCAGAAGGAACTTGAAGTAGGGGAAGCTTGCACACTGGGAAGTTAGCATGTCAGGAAGTGGTGTTTAAGTTGAGACAATGATTAAGTGTCCTTAGAGCAGTTGCTAGACTCTCAGTGTTGAACGTTTGCCCGACCTGTGAGCTTCTGGAGAATGTCCTGATCTGACGTCTTCTTTCTCATCACAGCCAGAGATCCTACAGGGTCAAAGGGAAGATGACCTCTCAGTGTGATTTTTTGAGAGCGTACTATGTGGGGGTGATAGAGAAATGTTTGGAAGGTTTGCCATTGCCTTGGATAGAGTCAAGTGTATGGTGGTGCCCTAACCACATACAAACTTCGCAGGAAAGATTCTCAGCCCAGACCATCCTGGACCTCAGGGTTGTAGGACATTTAGGGAGCACCCATTCTAGGTGACCATGACAGTTACAAGGAACCTCCAAGAGGGACGAATAAAGACCTTCTCTCTTGACCAACTTTTTTTTCTTTATTTGTTGATATTTTAATGAAATTTTACAGACAACTTGGATTTCCAATCATTCAGGGTTGCATGTTTTCCTTCCTACACTCCCCCAGTTCACTTTTCTCTTTAAAACAAGAGTCTTTCATGGTTGCGCTATTTCCTCTCGCCCCCTCCCCCACCCCTCAGTCCACTTTGCTATGTACCTGTTACTATGGACTCTTGTCATGCAAATAATACCTAATCATATATTTCTTTTAGACAATTCTTTCTCCCATCTATTTAAATGTAGTGTTCTTTATTTATCCCCTCTTGTCTTAGTTTTGCCCCAAACCCTATGTCAGTTCTGTTTTATAATAGCAGTATTTGTCCTTTTCCGAGTGAGATATTTCACTCACCATCATGTCCTCCAGGGTCACCCATTTTGTATAATATTTTATTAGTTCCTTGTTTTTTAGTGCTGCATAGTATTCCAGTGTGTGACTATACTACAGCTTCCCTATCCATTCGTTTGTTGATGGTTGCTTCCATCTCTTTGCTGTTTTGAACAATGCAGCAATAAACGTGGATGATGAGCATATATCTGTTTGGCTCACAGTGTTCTGGTTTCTTTAGGGTATATTCCCAATAGTAGAATTGCTGACTCAAATGATATTTCTATTTCCACCTCTTTGAGAATGCGCCATGCAGCCTTCCATAGTGGTTGCACCATTTTACACTCCCATCAACAGTGAGTAAAGGTTCCAATTTCTCCACAACCTTGCCAGCATTTGTTGTTTGCTGCTCTGTTGAACTTTGCTATTGTTACTGGAGTGAGATGATATCTCACAGTTGTTTTGTTGACCAACTTCTTGAGGACAGAGATATTCGCTGTTATGTAAAGGCCACCTGAGTGGTTCCAATTCAGTCAACGGTCAGTCTCTCACCTGGACGTACAATCAGATGTTAGCTGTGGCCTTTCCATCCACTACCTTCAATTGATCCAGTGTAGTGTAGAATGGAGGCTTGAGTCAAGTCCCAACGCATAAAATCAAGATGAAAACAAATATAGGTTGGAAGTCAGACAAACTCTCTTCTCCAACTTGTTCTCGTTTCTGATACCAGTCACCCCTGACATGGTACCTTCCACCCTTCCTCTGGGTCCAATAGTTCTTTGCACTGGCCACACAGACCTCTTAGGTCATAATCCCAGCTATGTAGTTTCCTGAGGAAGTGCAGACTACACCTTAGGGCCAAGATCAAGTTGGAAGTCATTGACACAACCCCAAAGCAGAATCGAGAAGCTTACATTTTAAGGTGTGGAGGCTGCTGAGAGGTGTTCCTGTTGTTGTTGTTGTTGTTGATTGCCTTCGAGTCAAGCATGACTCATAGCGACCCTATGAACAAAAGACCTGAAGCCTTTCTATAATTATCGCCATTTATCAAAGTTCATAGAGCTTTGGATCTGAGACGTAGAAGCCATTTATATCTCCCTTTTCCCCCAACATCATTCCCGACCAGCACAGCTCTCTCAGACCCTTCTGTGGCCACGTGAGTGTGAATGTCCTCTCTCAGTCCCCTCAGGACGGACCTCTTGCTGGCTCTATATACTTCCTCTCAGTCATACGTTTTGTACTTGGATAACGGCTCTGGTGGCTTTAATGGTAAGGACCTGTGCTGCCAACCCAAGACACATGATTCAAATCTACCATCTGCTTGTGGTTTACTGCCTCTGGGCACCACTGGAGGGTCAGCTGGTCCTGACACAAATGTGCGTAACGGCAACCACAGCAGCCATGCAGGACTGTCAGTACTAACCGGCCCAGTTCGTAGCCTCTGTAGCAACTTGCTCTCTCAGCTGCCTTCCTAAAACCAGGGTTTTGTTTGTTGTGTTTGTTTTTTTTTTTGCTGTCACTAGCTATTTCTAGAAGGCCTCATCTGGCCTCTTGTTATCTTCGTTTGCAAAGCCTTTGACTCATACTTTGAAGAGGTTCATCCTTCTCTGATCTTTTCTCTTCCTGCCTCAAAAGACCGCCATGCTGTTGTGTGCTTACACAAAGAAATTCTTTGTTCATTTCAAGGCATGAAACGCCCAGCAGGGCTAAAAATTAACCAGTCAGTTCTTGCTTCGCTCCATTTGCACAGTGAACACACCAATCCCCTCAGTATGCATAAAATAGTCTGATTACAGGACAGAATGAAGCTTAGAGGTAGACAAAAAGTGTCAAACCATCAAGTTGTTTATAGCTCACCCAAGAAATGCCCATCAACAACCTACATAGCAACACACACACACACACACACACACACACACACACACACATTGAAATTCCAAAGAATCAGGCTAAAGTTAACTCATCAACGGTTAGGCTTTAAGTCTCTCAATTTTTTTTAATTATTTTTTATTTTTGCCCCTAAAGAACCCGGGCATCAATCCACAAAGGGAAATAATTTCACTACATGCGGGTTCTTCAACAATGATTAAATATGTCATGTGCTGTGGACTCAGAGGTTCCCTGTACTTGAAATTGGTAAGAGCTCATCTAACGTTGAACCTCTGCGTGTCCCCCTCCACAGAATCCCTTCCCAAGCCAACGCTGTCCCTGGCATCTAAAGGCCTGAACTTGACCATGGGCAGTGATCTGGTCCTGCGTTGCCAGGGTCCACTTGCTGGAGTCACGTTCGTGCTGCTTAAGGAGACCTCACAGCGCCCTCTGCAGGTGGTGAGCTCAGCTGGACACAGGGTGGACTTCCAGATCCCAGACTTTGGGGTGCACATGTCTGGGAAATACAGCTGCCTTTACCTAGCGACCAGGAATGGGTCTTCAGGATCTGAACCAAGTGACCACCTGGAGCTGCAGGTGAAGGGTAAGATTTCAACCATAATAATTAAGAATCAGTGTGTCCTTTCACTGAAGGACTAAGATGTAGTCTTTTCTTTTGGGTTTTGGGTTTGGGTTTGTTTTGTTTTTTTGCCTTTTCTTTCTTTGTTTTAATTTTATTTTATTAATTGTAATGAACTTTTACAGAGATTTTGGATTTTCATTCATTCATTGTTGCACTTTTCTCCCTGCCCAGCCCTCCCCGCCACACACACACAGTTCGCTCCTCTCTTTGAAAAGCAAAAGAAAAAATCCTTCTTTGGTATACAATCCCCCCCGCACCCCTCCCACCACCCTGAGTACGCTCCACTATGCAACCTTAATTCTGGAGCCTTTTCTTTCTTTTTTTAAAAATATAAAAACTTGGTTTGGAAATCAGTACTGTCTGATAGAACCTTCTGGAAGGATAGAGATGTTCTCTCTCTGTCTCTGTCTCTGTCTCTCTCTCTCTCTGTGTGTGTGTGTGTGTGTGTGTGTGTCTCTGTCTCTGTGTCTCTCTCTGACTCTCTCTTTGTCTTTCTGTCTCTGTCTCTTTCCCTGTCTCTCTCTCTGTCTGTCTCTCTCTACTGTCAACTATGGTAGCCACTGAGCTCAAGTTCCTGTCAAGTATTTGCAAAGTGGATCCTGTGAGAAATTTAATTTTTTTTTTTAAAAAAAGGGGGGGGGTTGGTGAACAGGGAGAAAAGGGCAACAATGAATGATTGGAAACCTTAAGTCTTTGTAAACTTTCATTAAAGTTAATTTTTAAAAAAATGAAAAAGAAAAAAATAACCACACAATTTTCTAGTGACTTGAGTAAGAGTCTACAGAGTATGGGTTTTCCAGCTGTTTGATTCCTGATATTGCTTGCAATCTCTTCGATGCAACAGCGCTTTCCCTGCTTCCTCCTTGTATTTCCTGTGTCCATTTGTCCTTCTTTCCTACCCCTCCCTGCCTTCTGAACTTTACTCCTGGAGAAATGCTGCCCTTGGGATCATTGATCACTTTTTAGGTCTCTCTATTGTTTTGTTGGGTTTGGGGCCTCCAGGGTGAACTCTGCTCTAGGCTTGAAGGGTAATTAGAGTCTGTGGTCCCAAGTGGAGCATCAGAGCCTCTGTCAGTGTCTAACGTGAATCAGGGTGAACAACCAGGTAGCTGATCCAGCCAATATCTTTTGCTCACAGGATTCTTGTGTTCCTTTCTGGTCTAGACAGTAAGATCTCAAACCTGGGGTCATCCTGGGCTGGATATTGAGGGTGGGAACAGAGAAAGGGGTGTTCTCTGCCCCTCACAATCCCCGTTTGGTTTCCTGGGACCCCCAGGGCAGTGGTCCGAGCCCAGGGTGTATTGCTGTCCTGCTGTCCCCCAGGTCTGATGCCGAAGCCCTTGCTCTGGTCAGTGTGGAGGAACACCGTGGCTCCCGGAAGTGATGCAACATTGCACTGCCTGAGTCCCCTGCCAGACATGCACTTCCATCTCCTGCGAGCAGGCCAGGTGCTGCTCTCGGCACAGTTTACCTTGAGCAGAAGAATAGCACAGTTCATCCTGACCAATGTCCAGCTCCAGGATGCAGGAAACTACAGCTGCCGCTATTACCTTCCTCACAGAGACTCATTGGTCAGGTCTGAGGACAGTGATCCCATGGAGCTCCGGGTGGAGAAGGAGTCATACTGAGCTGTCACCTGCATGCCGTCTCTCACCTCCCCTCTATATCTCAGGCGCCCCCCTCTTTGTATTCCCTGCAGATACATGGGCACCCCTTCCTCCTTCATCCTTCCCCTGCTCCTCCTGATTCTGAGCCCCCACTGCATGCTGAGGGTACATGTGATCTAGCCTTTTAGTCGCATTTCCGGGTCATCAAGACGATCTCCAACAAAATCTTAATCTCGCTTTTCGTGATCTTGATTGCAGCTCATGGCAATGGCCATAGACTGAGTTGTATTCCCCCACAAAACACACGGTGACATACTGTGAAATCTATGTGTGATCCTTCCCTAGCTGGTAGAGCAGATACTTGTGAGAGGTTTAAGAGTGGAATGCAACATGCTTTCAGTTCATCACCGTGAGAGACATTTTCATAGAATGTGGCCCGTAAAATGCAAAGGATGCGGATGGGGGAACCTCAGAAATAGCCACGTGGAATGGACTGAGCCCCATGTATAAGACAGGAAACTCCTGGACCCCTGGAAGGCCAGAACTCCTGGTGGTCTTCAAGCACACTGAGGCTGAAGGACAAAAGTGTGGTCTGCTATAATAGGACCTCCAACAGAGATAAAGAGAGAGAGGGATTCCCCTTTGAGTTGACACCCTGAATTTGGACTTCTAGCCACCCCCCACACTGTGAGAGAATAAATGTCTGCTTGTTGAAGTCATATGTTTGTGATGTCTCTCAGATAGCATCGCTAGGTAACCAGGACGGCAGCCTCTTGTCAGGTTTGCACAGCTGTGATCTATCATAAAGGGAATAGATTGTCTCAGCTTTCTCCTGCAGAGCAGATGATGGCTTTGAACCACTGATCTGGTTAGCAGCCTAACTTGTAGCACACTCTTCTATTCCCCACCCCTACCCTTTTTGTCATTTTGATGTTATATTTAAGACTCCCTTGCTCAAAATCTCAACCCTGAAAATGTACCTCTATGTCTGCTTCTAGAAGGTTTAGGTTTTAGTTCATACATTTAGATCCTTGACCTTGTTGTTGTTGTTGTTATGTGCCGTTGAGTCGTTTGCGACTCATAGCGACCCTATGTACAACAACAGCCTTAAACGGTGTTCTATCCTGTGCCAATCTCATTTCCTCTGACACACCCATCCCGATTACCCCAGTCACTGAATCAATCCACCTCATAGAGGGTCTTCCCCTCCTGCGCTGTCCCTCTACTCTACCCAGCATGATGTCCCTCTCTAAAGACCTGTCTCTCCTTACAACATGTTCAAAGTATGTCAGACGAAACCCCAGAATCCTTGCCTCCAAGGAGCAGCCTGGTTTAATCCTCTCTACGATGAATCTGTTTGTTTTCTTGGCAGTCCATGGTACATTCAATACTCTTCTCCAGCACCACAGCTCAAAGGCGTCAATTCTCCTTCTATCCTCCCTAGTCATTGTCCAACTCTCTGATGCATAACAAGTGATTGCAAAAACCATGGCCTGTATCAGGTGCACCTTAGTCTCCAGAGAGACACCGTTGCTCTTGAGTACTTTAGAGAGGTCCCTAACAGCAGACTTTCCCATCACAATGTTGTTTGACGTTTTTTTATTTCCTGGCTACTGGTGCCAAGAGTGTTGACCATGGAGCCAAGCAAACTGAAGCTGTGAACAATCTCAATCTCTTCACCATCCATCCTGATGCTACCGATTGGTCCAGTGGTGAGAATTTCTGTCTTCTTGACATTGAGCCTCAGTCCATATTGAAGGCTGCAGTTCTTGACCCTCTGCAGTAAGTGCATGAGGTCCTCCTCAGTTTCAATGAGCAAGGTTGTGTCATCTGCATAATGCAGATTGTTGATAGATCATCCACCAATCCTAACGCCACGCTTCTCCTCCTTGACCTACTTGGAATTAATTTGTGTATTTGGACAATGACTAAGGATGGCAGAAGAAGAATTGATTCCAGTGGTGCTGGAGAAGAGTCTTGAACATGCCACGGACTGTCAAGAATAGGTCTGTCTTGGAGAAAGTGAAACCTAATTTTTCCTTAGAGGCTAGGATCTTGAAGCTCCATCGCACATACTTTAGACACATGGTGGGAGGGTTGAGTCCTTGGGGAAGGACATCATGCTTGGAAGGGTGGAGGAACAACACTGGAGAGGAAGACCCCAGAAGAGATGGATTGAGACAGTGACTGGGGCAGTGGGGATAGGCGTGTCAGTGAGACTGGCTCAGAACAGGGCAGGGTTCAGGACTGTTGTACATAGGGTCGCTATGAGTAGCAGGGAATTCGATGGCACATAACAACAACAACGTATGTGTGAGTTATGACTCTTTTTTTATTCTTTCACCTGTAGAACTTTGTTTGTTCCAGCACTACTAGAAAGAGCCAATTCTTTCGCCAGTGAAAAACTTAGGACTCTGAGAGACCCAACTTGCCCCAATGTCTAGGTTTATTTCTTGACTTACAATTCTATTCCTTTAGTCTAAATGTTTAACATTATTCCGGTACCAGACTGTCTTGATTACTGTTGCTTTACATTGTGTTTTACTACCAAGGAATTGAGTCTTCCTACTTTGTTCTCCAAGACAACTTAAGTTACTTAGAGTCTGAGGAATCTTTAAAAAAAAATACTCTCCTTCATGTGATTTTGAAGATGGGGTTTTCTACTTACATGAAAAAGGCTGTTGCTGTTTGGGTAAGAATTGTTTTGCATCTATAGATTGCTTTGGGTTATGATGTTATGACATCAAATAGTGTTAATTTTTCCAATCATGAACATGGAATGCCATTCCGCTTATTTAGATCCTCTTAACATGCTCCGGGCATGTTGTCAAGAGGGAACAGTCTTTGCAACAAGCCATCATGTTGGGAAAAGGTAGAGAGTCAGCAAATGAAAATGACTCTCAGTGACAGCGGTTGACCTGGTGACCATTAACAATGGGCTTGAGCAAATAGGAGATTGTAAGGACGATCGTGATAAGACATAGAGTTGCTATGAGTCACAGCACGTGACAACAGCCAGAATATACTTTTTTGGGGTAATATTTTAACATTCTCAGCATCCTCTTCTTGTTTGTTTGTTGTTGTTTGTTGTTATGTGCCATTGGGTCACCTGCCACTTACAGCGGCTCTATGCACAAAAGCCCTGCACTGTTTCCAACTTTCACATTCCAGTCCTCAATTATCATGAACTCATCTTGACTGCATATACGGTCAATTTTGGACTGCAAGATTTCGCAAAACTTTTCCATTTCTTCCTCTTTGGCTCTAGATGTAGGAATGTATATTTGAATGTTATTGTTGTTGTTGTTGTTGATTGCTTTCGAGTCGAGCACAACTCACAGCGACCCTATAAACAAAAGGCCTGAAGCCCCTCTACAACTATTTATCAAAGTTCCCAGAGTTTCCAGTGGTTGCCACTCCTGCTTCCAAACCTGTCATAGCATGTTATTGTTGTTATGTGCCATTGATTTGCCTGCAGTGTATAGCAACTGTATCTACAGCAGCTCTGAACCCGTCCCTGTCCTGAGCCAGCTGCACGAATTCTGACACACCAACCTCCATTACCCCTGATACTGTATCAGTCCATCTCATCCAGGGTCTCCTTCTCCTGCACTGTCCGTCCACCCTTTCGAGCATGATGTCCTTCTCCACGGACCGATCTCTCCTGGCTATGTGCCCAAGGTAAATGAGTCATATTAGTAGGTCTTCTTTGTACAGATATGGATAATATCCTATCATTCACAACATTGTATTTCAGAATAAAACTTGAAATTGAGGGGGTTTTACTATGAATGCAACACCATTCTTCTTCTGTTTTTCATTTACAGCATAGTAAACCATTTAATTATGTTTCAAAGTGGCCAAAGCTAGTACATCCTATCTAAATGGAATGCCTAGTATGTTGATGTGTATGTGTTCCATTTAATTTTTCAGTGTCTAGTTTCCCAACATTCAAGCTACATTTATTCCATGTTCCAATTATTAAACTATGTTTCCCATCCTTTTTCCTCATTTCAACTGACTTCCAATCTGGGCTCTACCGCTACGCTACTATAACTAATCACATTCTTCTACTGTTTGTCCTGTTTTCAGAGGCCTTTTATATAAGAAGTGGATGGCCAATACTGTTTCCTAGTCTCTCTTAGTCTGAGCTCTGCTGTCCATCATGAGGAACCCTTGTGGCATTTGACACCCCCATGTCATAGCTTTCAGTATCACAGCAACCCACAAATTATCTCAGTACAGCAATTCACAAACAAGTGCTGTACCATTTGGAACAATAAGGTCCCAGGAAATGATGGGATACCGATTGACTTGTTTCAATAATCAGATGTAGTCCTGGATGCATTCACCAATCTATGCCAGGAAATTTAGAAGACAGCTGTGTGGCCAACGGATTGTAAGAGATCTCTTTGTGTTCCTATTCCAAAGAAAGGTAATGCAACTGAATGTAGAAACTATTGAGCAATATCATTAATATCACATGAAGCAAAATACTGCTGAAGATCATTTAGAACTGGCTATAACAATACATAGACAGGCAATTGCCAGAAGTTCAGGTAGGATTTGGAAGAGGCCGTGGCACCAGGGATATCATTATTGACGTCATATGGATCCTGGCTGAAAGTAAAGAATACCAGAAGAATGTCTACTTATGCTTTATTGACTATGTAAAGGCATTTGACTGTGTGGCTTACAACAAGCTATGGCTAACATTGAGAAGAGTGGGAATCCCAGAGCACTTAATTGTGTTCATGCAAAACCTATGCCTAGACCAGGAAGCTGTTGTGTGAACAGAGCAAAGGAATACTACATGGTTTAAAATGAAGAAGAGGTGTGTTAGGGTGGTATTCTCTCCCCATACCTAGTCAATCTGTATGTTGTCGTTGTTGTTATGTACTATTGAGTCACTTGCCTCTCTTAGCAATCCTATGTACAATAGTCCTAAAACCTGCTCTAACCTGTGCCAACCTTATTGTCTCTGATACTCCTACCCTCTTTATTCCACTCACTGAATCAAT